GGGTTAAATGAGCATTGTTAAGAGAATAGAAATCTACTGAGATACTAGGAACTGCAGATGCTGGAGAATCTAAGATAACAAGATGTAGAGCTGGACGAACACAGCAGGCCAAGCAGCATCAGAGGAGCAGGAAAGTCCAGGCCCCAAGAAGACCTTCCACATCAAGCAGCTGTTCCCGTTGTGGCCTCCTCTACATCGGGGAAACCAAGTGGAGGCTTGGGGACCGCTTTGCGGAACACCTACGCTCAGTTCGCACTAAACAACTGCACCTCCCAGTCGCGAACCATTTCAACTCCCCCTCCCATTCTTCAGATGACATGTCCATCCTGGGCCTCCTGCAGTGCCACAACAATGCCATATTCCACTTGGGAACCCTGCAGCCCAATGGTATCAATGTGGACTTCACAAGCTTCAAAATCTCCCCTCCCCCGACCTCATCCCAAAACCAGCCCAGCTTGTTCCCGCCTCCCTAACTTGTCCTTCCTCCCACCTCAAGCCCCACCTCCATCTCCTACCTACTAGCCTCATCCCGCCCCCTTGACCTGTCTGTCCTCCCTGGACTGACCTATCCCCTCCCTAACTCCCCACCGACACTCACCTTTACTGGCTCCATCCCCGCCTCTTTGACGTGTCTGTCTCCTCTCCACCTATCTTCTCCATCCATCTTCTATCCACCTCCCTCTCTCTCCCTATTTATTTCAGAACCCCCTTCCCCTCCCCTATTTCTGAAGAAGGGTCTGGGCCCGAAATGTCAACTTTCCTGCTCGGCCTGCTGCGTTCATCCAGCTCTACACCTCGTTATTCTCCAGCATCTGCAGTTCCTACTATCTCTGGTCCTATAAAAGGCAAGTTTGGAGAATTGAAAATGGAAAATGAGATGTCAGATACAGTGTCCATGTATTTTCCAACAGTATTTACCATGCAAGGTACACAAGCAGCAACAGATCAGGAAATGGAAAGGAGGAAGAATTCTTAAAGCTATAATCACCAGTGAAGAACTGAGTAAACTGATGGTGTGAACGGCGGCTAAATGCCCAGGTACTGAAGAACTACATTCTAGTCTCTTAAAAGAAAGTGAGAAAATTGATATTCGTTTTAATTTTGAGGGTAAACTTGCAAGTAATATCCAAACAAGCAGCAAAAGCTACATAAATAAACCAATAAATAAACAAAATAGGGAAGAGAAAGGCCAAAGTTACAATGTGACCCTTAGGGAAGCTATGCAACTCTGTTTGATCATATCATGTGTTTCTAAATGCTCTACTACATTCCTTATAACAGATTAATATTTCCTAATATCAGATGTAAAGCTAACTGGCCGACAGTTATCAGTATTTGTCTCCCATACCCTCAAAATAAAGGTGCTGCATCAACAGTTTTTCAATCCCGCAGGACAAAGATTTCAAAGGCAGTTAGATGTTGACTGTAAGGACTTCAGCAAAGCGTTCGACAAGGTTCTGCATGGTAGACTGGTTAGTAAGGTTAAATCACATGGGATCCAGGGGAGCTAGCTTATTGCATACAAAATTGGCCTGAAGGTAGGAGATAGAAGGCGGTGGTAGAAGATTGTTTTTTGGAGGCCCGTGACTAGTGGTATGCCACAGGATCGGTGCTGGGTCTGTTGATTTTCATCATTTGTATCAATGATTCGGATGTGAATATAGGAGGCATGGTTAGCAAGTTCACAGATTACACCAAAATAGGTGGTGTGGTGGACAGAAGGTTATCTCAGAGTACAACAGGACCTTGATCAGAGGGGCCAACAGGCCGAGGAGTGGCAAATGGAGTTTAATTTGGACAAATGAAAAGTGCTGCATCTTTGAAAGGCAAATCAGGGCAAGACTTACACAGTTAATGGTAGCACCTTGGGGAGTGTTGTGGAACAAAGAATTTGGGGTGCGGGTGCATTGTTCCTTGAAAGTGGAGTCTTAGGTAGACAGTGGTGAAGGAGTTTGGGATGCTTGAATATTTACCTATTTATAGGAGTTGACACATCAAATTGTGGCTGTACAGGACATTGGTGAGCATACTTAGAATACTGTGTGCAGTTTTGGTCACCCTTCTATAGGGCAGATGCTGTTTAATCTTTTTCTGTACCATCTCAAGTTTATGAGGATGATGCCAGGATTGGAGGGTTTAAGTTTAGGGAGACATCGAATAGGCTGGGGCTATTTTCCCTGGAGCCTTGGCGACTGAGGGTTGACCTTATAGGAGAGGTTTATAACATCACGATAAGCATGGATGGGTGAACAGCCAAGGTCTTTTTCCTAGGGTGGGGGCATCCCAAAAGGAGAACATAGGTTTCAGGTGAAAGGGGAAAGATTTAAAAAGACCCTGACGGGTAACATTTTCATGCAGAGGATGGCACATGTATGGAATGAGCTGCTGGATGAAGTGGAGGAGTGGGTATAATTACAACATTTAAGGGGCATCTGGATGGGTATAGGAAAGGTTTAGAGGAACATGGGACAATGCTGGCAAATGGAACTAGGTCAGATTGGGATGTCTGGTTGGTGCAGATGAGTTGAACCAAAGAGTCCACTTCCCTGCTCTATGATTTTTCCAAAATCTAAGGATTCTTGGAAAATTACTACTTGTGTATCACTATCTCCATAGCTACTTTGTTTAACACGCTAGGATCCATCCCATTAGGTCCAAAGGGCTTAATGATCTTTAGCCTCAATATAGTTTCCCTAGTACATTTTCTCTAGTGGTAGAGATTGTATTTATTTCCTCACCTCCTTTTGCCCCTTGATTGAATTTTTGAAATGCTACTAGTGTCTTCCTCTATGGAGACGGGTCAAAGCATTTATTCAACTCAAGAGTAAAAACAAAGAACTGTGGATTATTCAGACACTTTAAATTTATTCAACACCTCTGCTATTTCCTGTTTCGCCATTGTTACTTCACCAGCATTGCAAGGATTTGAGTCTACAATCAGATAAGTCATAAATTTTATTAAATGGCTGAAGCAGGCTCAAAGGGCTGAATGGCCTACTCCTGCTCCATGTTCCACATCCCCATTTAATATAATTCACTACACTAAAAATATCTGTCTAATCCAAACTCAACTCATTCACTCAGATAATTAAACTCCTCAAACTTTACATATAGATAATCTTAGAACAGTGTGTATCCTTGGCAGATAGTAGATGACCCAACTGTAACAACTACAACAAGTACCATACATGTAATTTCTGTTTTGTACAGATCTCTCAAAACTCTCGCTGATAGCCTCTAGTGATGCTGAAATACCGCAGGCTGTGCAAAAGGAACCACAAGGTTGATCTTTTGCTGAGACCAGATTAGGAAAGCTCAAGCCTATTAGCCTGGAGGAGAGGTATCAGAGGTGACTTATAGAGCTCAACAAGAGATTGAAATAGGTAAATATGGAAAAGTCACTTTCAACTCAATTGAGAGCAAAGACTACAATCACATGTTCAAGCTAGGAAATGACAGATTTAAAATTGATGTCAGGAAATTCTGAATTACACAAAATAAAATGTCTGGAATAAACTCCCAGAAAGAACACTGAAGGCTGAGCACCTTTAAGAACAATTTGACATTGAAGTGCAGCCTTTAAGTTATCGCTGGATGCTAGTGTTGGACTGAGTGGACTAGGTCAGAAGACACAGGTCACAAGGTTATAGTCCAACAAGTTTATTTGAAATCACAAGCTTTCAGAGCACTGCTGCTTCATCATCCTTTGCTGCTCACTTTGCCTGCTGAAGAAGCAGCACTTCGAAAGCTTGTGATTTCATATAAACCTGTTGGACTATAACTGGTTTCATGTGACTTCTGACTTTATCCAATATTCAGCACTGGGGTGAGAAGTAGTTTCCTTTAATTATCAAGGAACTGTTCGAGTCTAAGCATTGGTGGCATTTATTGACCCCAAAATAAGCTCCCAACTGCACTTTTATATCATTCTGTCCCCCTATACATCTTGTGCTCACCAACCTATACCAGACTCCCAGTCAAGCGATCTCTCAATTTTAAAAATTCTCATCCTGCTTACAAATTTCTCCATGGTCTTGCCCCTCATATCTCTGCAGTGTCCTCTAGTCCCACAGCCACACAAATATCTGTACTGTACTCTTTTTTTACCCCCCATCTTCAGCATCTCAATTTCAATGGCTCAACCATTAGTGCCCACAGCTTCAGATGCCTGGGCCCTCTTACCCCATCTTCCCTCTCAAGATCCCTTTTGTCAGTTATGACACTCCTTAAACCATTTTTTGACTAAGGCTTGGTCATTCATACCATTATCGCATGCCATCTGGTATCAATTACATTAAAAAAATGTTAAAGGCTTAATTGTTATTAACCTTGCTCCAAGACAAACAAGGAAAGTCATAGCCAGTCTGGCTTTCCCCTCCGTATTTATCCCTGTCTCCTCCCAATCATCCATCCCCCATTGCACTCTCTCCAATCAACACACTGCTCTAACCAGCTCCACTGTTAGCCATCAAATTATCAGTCCAGTGTCTTCCCCCTACCCCAATCACGCTCTCCCACCTCCTGACCGCCCTCCCTCCACCCCACTCACCCTTCCCGCTCCCCCTCCAGTCACAACCTCCCACCCCTCCCTAACACCTTTCAGACTCCCTGGCCTACCTCAGGGACACCTCCCTCTTTCTCCATCCTCCTGCCGCCATTAGAGTCGCCGGAGGGGGAAAGACAAGGCTGTCTCCTCTCCCTCCCCTCATGCAGGGATTTAAACCATGCCCCTCCCTACACTGTCGCCGTGGCAACGGGCCGTCCCTGCCCGAGCGAGACTGGTCCTCGACCCCACGTGATGTCCTCTCCATGCCCGGCTCCTGGCCGACCGTCTGACGGTGATGGTGTATCTATCTCTCTCTCTCTCTCTCTATCCTGGTCCCAGCTGTCAATCCCCGGTTCCCCGTTCCTATTTGCCCAGTCCCCAGCCTCTATCGGTCGGACTCCTACACACCCGGTATTAGTCACCGACCGATCCTGATACCGACCCCCACTCCTACCTGCCAGGATCTCAATCCCGTTCCCTCCGCCACTACTGCTGCTGCTCGGGCCCTGACAGCAGGGGCGGGGCTCCACGGCCTTGACGTCAACGGGTCCAGCCCAAACACCAATCAGAGCTCCTCCCCCCGCCTCGTTTCCCGCATCTAACCATTCATAACCGGGTCTCCATCTGATGGACATAGATAACGTCCAATCCACAATGGACAAAGGACAGCCAATGGGAGCGGGACACCACCCATGCGGCGTTTTCGCCAATAGTAATCAGGAAACGTCATGATTGACATACATCTCCAGCCATTCCAGTGCGGGCAACTGAGAGGCTGCTGTTGTGGTGCTGATGTTGGAGAGAGGAGCGTAAAGGGAGGGAGATGGGAGAGAGAGAGAGAGAGAGAGAGAGATAGAGATAGAGGAGAGAGATAGAGGAGAGAGACAGGGAGGAGAGATGGGGAGGTGGGTCAAGAGAGACAGGGAGAGACATAGCTATAAGGAGAAGGGGAGAAGGAGAGTTAGAGGGAGAGACATGGTGGAGAAATGCAGGTGTGAAAGAGAGGGGTTAGTGGGAGAGGGCGGGGTGGAAGGCATTGAGAGACCGAGTAAAAATGGGGTGCGAGGAAAGAAGGAGGATAGAGAGAAAGGAACGGGGATCGTGACAAGATTTCATATACCACAATGACAAATGGTGAAAGCTAAATTCCATCAAAATGTGGAATAAAAGAAAAACTAGCCGAAAGGCGAGAGTGTAAAACTATCTATTGTCATAAGAATCTATTTGGTTCATTCATGTACTGTGGGAATGGAAATCTACCATCCTTTCCTCACGTGACTCCGGACTGTCAGAAAAGAGGGCCAGAAAAATGAGGGGGAGGCGATGGTCTAGTGGTATTATTGCTGGACTGTTAACCCAGAGACTCAGATAATGTTCTGGGGGACCCAGGTTCAAATCCTGCCACAGCAGAATTCAATAAATATCTGGAACTAAAGAGTCTAATGATGACCATGTGTTCATTCTCGATTGTTAAGAAAACCCATCTGGTTCACCAGTGTCCTTTAAGAAAGGAAACTGTCATCTGTACCTGGTCTGGCCTAGATGTGACTCCAGACCCACAGCAATGTGGCTGTCTCCTAACTGCCCTTTGGACAGTTAGGGATGGGCAATAAATGCTGGCCAGCAATGCCCTCATCCTGTGAATGAATAAAGACGTTAAACAAAGGGATAGGCAATAAATGATAGTCTAGGCATTGACACCCACATCCTGTTAATGAATAATACAACTGTTCTCAGTGACTAGGAGATAGCCATAACTGCAGAGTAAATACAGTGTGGAGCGGGAGGAACACAGCTGGTCAGGCAGCATCAGAGGAGCAGGAAAATCGACATTTCGTGTCGGGACCCTTCATCAGGACTGTTCTCTGACAATTCTCATAATTCCTTTGATTTTGAGTGGTGTTCTTGTGCCATGCTGTTCTTTGTGAGGAAAGTTGTAGGTTCATTCTCATCCACCAAGGGGTCGTTTCAGATAATGAGTGGTAATAGTGACTCAGTAGTTAATACTGCTGCCTCACAGTGCCAGGGACCCAGTTTCAATTCCAGCCTCGGGTGTGGAGTCTTCACATTCTCCCTGTGTCTGTGTGGGTTTCCTGCAGGTGCTCCAGTTTCTTTCCACAGTCCAAAGATGTGCAGATTAGCTGGATTGGCCATACTAAATTGTGCATTGCATCTAGGGTGGGAAATGCAGGGATAGGATAGGGGGTGGGTCAGTGTGGACTTGATGGGCCAAATGGCCTGCTTAATCACTGTAGGGATAATACAGTAACACTCACCCTGGTACCAAGTTTGATATCAGTTGAAGATCGTTAGCACGTATGATCTAAAATAATATCTGGTTCAGATTTCTTGAGAATAGTTTTATTGCATCATTCAAAAGTGGTATATCATCGTAGAAGGGAATGCATTCTAACAGAGGTATGTCTTGTTCATCCGGGTTTTCTTCCAAAGATGCTCTTTTGTGTAAGGTGTTAACCACTTTGTACAAGTAAGCACTATTAGTTATCTGACTCACAGGTTGTTTTTAACTTTGCACATTCTCTGAAATTGGCCCACTTTCTTACAAAAGTTGCATTGGTATGATTAAAGCAGATATTGTTTTATCTGTGTCATGATTTAACTCTGCATCTCAAACTGTGAGATCTAGCATCAAAGTATTTAAGTACCTTTGTGCTGGACTATCATGTGATGTTTCGGTGTTTTTGTACTTTAGAAAGTTGACAACGTCTGATGAGCTTCTTGAACGAGGTTGACTTTCTGTTCCTGTTCATCACTTGTGCTGTTTTCAGATTTAAGCTGCAACTATGACCTGGATAGTTCTTTCTAATGTGAGTTCCTTTTTTGATTGTAATGTATCTGAAAGAAACGAATCAGAAACTCTGACGACAATTCTGTCTCAATCAGTACTAGTTGTAAATAACAATAAAATTCACAAAAATCATTAACAAAATAGTCAACAGGTATTCCTGGCAGCTGCATTTTTCTAGTAAATCTGCAATGTTATCAAAGGTAACTGCTGCTTCTTTTCCACTTTGTCATTTTAAAACATGATCTGCTATTGGACCTAGGGAATAAAAAAGTACCTATTTGGTACTATTCTTTTTTGGCCTTCTTCTAGAATCCTAAAGTAACTCTGTACCTCACAAATTGCTTCTTTCATGCATCCAGTTTGGTTTCCTCTCTGAAGTACAGTGATTGATTTGTGACAGATATTATGATTATGATTTGTCCAGAAAGAAGTGGCAGGCCAATTTAATATGTATTTTGGTTCTGTTTTTACAACGGAGGACTTAAATAAAGTTTCAAAAATGTTGAGAAACACATGATCCAGTGAGAGGGAAGATCTGAAGGAAATCAGTATTAGGAGGGAAATGGAGTTGGGGAAATTAATGGGATTAAATGCCAACAGATCATCAGGGCCTGATAATCCCAAAGTACTTAAGGAAGTGGCCCTAGAAATTGGGGATGCTTTGGTGGTCTTCTTTCAAGAGTCCATAGACTCTGTTACAGTTCCTCTGGACTGGAGGGTTAGCCTGATATTGGTGGTAGAGAAAATGCTAGAGTCTATTGTAAAAGATTTAACAGCAGAGCACTTAGAAAACAGTAACAGGATTGGACAGAGTCAGTATGGATTTATGAAAGGGAAATCGTGCTTGACAAATCGATTGCAATTTTTTTGAGGATCAATTTAGAGGGCTACAGATGTAGGACAGGAGAATGGGACTAGCTAGGTAGCTCTTCCAGGAACCTGTACAGTCTTGATGGGCCAAGTAGCCTCCTTCTGTACAGTAATATTCTATGATTCTATGTAATGAGTCAAGTTGCTAAGTGAAGGCCAGTAGATGTGGTTTACTTGGACTTTTAGAAGATATTTACTGAGGTCCTACATAAGAGATTAGCATATTAAATTAACGCACGTGGGATTGGGAGTTAGTGTACTGATAGGAGTAGAGAACATGTTGAAAGGCAGGCAACAAAGAGTAGAAATCTATTTTCTGAGTGGCAAACAGTGATTACTGGACTGCTGTAGGTATTAGTGCTAGGACACCAGCTATACACAATGTTCATCGATGATTAGATGAGGGAACTAAATGTCTTACCTCCAAGTATGAAAATGACATAAAGCTGTGTGGGAGGGTGAAATGTTAGGAGGATGCAAATATGCTTCAATACGATTTGGACAAATCATGTGAGTGGGCAGATGAAGTATAATGTTGATAAATTGAGAGAGGAGAATTTATAACAAGACCTCGTACACCTCTCACTGAAAGTAAACAGTTAGGTACAGCAGGTGGTGAAGACGGCAAATGGTAAGTTAGTTTCATAGCATGAGGATTTGAGCATGTCTTGAGGATGTCTTGCTGCAATTGTACAGCACCTAGGTGAGATTATTGTGTGTAGTTTTGGTCTCCTTTCCTAAGGAAGGATATTCTGGCTGTGGACAGATTGCAATGAAGGTTTACCAGCCTGATTCCTGGGATGGAAAGACTGATGAATGAAGAGAGACTCAAATATTTAGGACTATGTTCACAGGAGTTTAGAAGAATGACGGGAGATTTCATAGATAGGGTAAACATAGAAAGGATGATCCTGATGACCGGGAGTTCAGAACCAGGGGTCACAGTCTAAGGATTCAGAATAGGTCATTTTGGACTGAGATAAGAAGTAATTTCTTCACCCAGAGAGTGGTGAGCCTGTGAAATTCTCCACCACAGAAAGTGGTTGAAGCCAAAACATTGGATGTTTTCAAGGAGATAGGTATAGATTTCAGAGCTAAACAAATTAAAGGGTTTGGGATGAAAGCAAGAACAGAATATTGAGTTGATTGATCAACCATCAACATACTGAATTGCAGATCAGGCTGAAAAGGTTGAAAAGCCTTCTCCTGCTCCAATTTTCTACGTTTCTGGATCTGCTTAGAGGTTTAATACCTTTGTTCATTGTGGTTGTATTTAATTGATGTGACTTCTATTATCTAAATGATTTATTTAAAGTTGTGGCTTGTAGAAGCAGCTGGATTGCTGTTTTAAATTGTATTATTACTTATAGAATCCTGTAGAGGACATTCAGCCCATTGTGTCTGCACCGGCCCTCCAGAAAACATCCCACCCAGACCCCTACCTTATCCCCATAACCCTGCATTTACCATGGCTAATCCATCTACCTTGCACACTACAGGGCAATCTAACAATGCCAGTTTACCTAACCTGCATAACTTTAGACTGTGAGAAGAAACCAAAGCACCTGGCAGAACCCACAAAGACACAGGGGGTGCATGCAAACTTCACACTGTCACAAAAGGCTGGAATCAAACCTGGGTCCCTTGCACTGTCAGGCAGCAGTGCTACCCACTGCACCACCATGCCACTCTTACTGGGAATCAAACTACGTCAGGCATGAAAGTGCCAAACCAACCACTAGCCCACCAGGAAAGTTTCAATTGCATTAAATACTGAATCTTTTTCAGTATGTTTCTGTCTTATATTGCAATTATTTTCTTTAAATATTGGATAATGAAGATGAATTGTTCATAAAGAGTCATAGAGTCATACAGCATGAAAACAGAC